AGCTTTTGATATCACTGTCGAAACCAACAAAAGGTGATCTGCTGTCAAATCGCCTGCAGCTAGGATCGAACCCGGCACCTTGGCATTAAGAAGTGCGTTCGCGACGCCTAAGCCACAGACATCGACACGCACATAGTAAAATAGTTAAAAGAGAGATCAACATGAAACCAGAAGTATTATATCGACCCCCCCCCCCCCCCCCCCCCCCCCCCAATCCCCCCAAAAAAAAGCTAAACGCTACGTGTAAAAGAGTAAAAAGGTCTCACCGAAATACACTTACAGACAGTATGAAGATTTTATATAATACGAAGACTAAAAGAAATTAAAAGGTGTGTGTTATCTTGAGCTTTCCTACAGAAACATTGCATGATAATATTGATGATTCTGATAGTGATGATGATATCACGGATATTGTGAGCTCCACACTAGACAACACCCCTCCCCCGCCCCTCCACGCCTTCCTCTCCCACCAGCGTCTTTCAGGTGGGGTCTTTGCAATACGCTAGATTAGCTAACAAAGCCAGCCAGTCGATCAATATCTCTACTATGATGTATCGGTCTGAGACAACAAACTTTACAAGCTGCCAGCCTGCACCAGAAGCACAGTAATTATACGTGATGATGAAAGACAACTGTTCTCCAAGTCTGCTCACCTAAGATATATGAACCAACGAACCAAGGAACCAACGAACCAGCGTAGTATATATTCTACAGGGGTTCAGATCTAGACACGCATGCCTATGTAACATTATGCACTTTTTACTACGCAGCTCAATGCAAATGCGGACAGACTGGTCAAAAGCGACAGTGACATGGTACAACCAAATAGCGACTAGGACAGGAGACTAAGACATTAATACAATCTAGCATCCAAGAAAGGTGGCGGGATAAACGAACAAAAGTCTTTTCCAAAGACTCACTTCATCGCCTATCTACAGAGGACACGGGGACAAAGGACAGGCCACAAAAGACTTCAACAATGTTCAAACTTTTCGGTGTAAGAAACACGGATACGTGTCCGTGTATTGTGGCACCAGAAAATACGGGCAAGTGCTCCAACGCTGTCAACCGAATGCTCAAATCAGAGACGCAATCTGGTCAGTTCTAACAACAATGAAGACAAATAACGAGGGTACATGACTGCACGAAAGCTTTCATAAAGGCTATCGGGTCTTCTGATATAGGTTTTCTGACAGGAGTTTCGAAGATGACGAAGAAGAAGAGACTACACATACTTAATACTTTATGTTGTTTGTACGAGGAGACTTCAAATGAAAACCTTTGAAGTGCGATATAAAACAAAATTATCGGGATATTTTCTTGTAACTTGGTTGTTTGTTGTTGAAGATGTCAAAAGCATTAAGCAGGTGATGAAATCACTCACAGTGGCGACGCAACACGATGACAGTTTAAAGATGGTCGCCCCATTTTTGACATGCACCAAGAGGACCCTCGTTCAGTTACACGACTGCTGATCAGTGAAGAGGTAAAACCTATAGCATTTTATCAGAGAATGAAGATCCTGTATGGTGATGCATGACAGTATGTCCAGCAAGTGTGTAAGTGGAGCATAAAGTGGCAAAACAGCGGGACCTGTGACAGACCGTTTAGGGCACTGCACTGGTAAACTAAACGGCGCAGCTGTAAAACAAACCCACGACCTTCAGAGGGCGTAGAAAAGCGTCCTTTACTTTATTTACAAGGTTTTTCGGTACACGTAACGTTAATCTTCACACGCCCCGCCCATACACACAATAGCTCACTTCTCATTGGTAATTCCTGAACCTGTCACCTTGGCATAAAGTTACGGGGGTGTTCCCCAATGCTGTTAATATCGCGTTTTGTATTCTGCAGCACCTTAGCGCTTTTAACATTCCAAAAAACATGAAGAAACTGGCCCTAACACAACCTCTCTAGAGAGTGCTGCAACCTATGTCACTGGCATCATCTTTCTCGGTATGAAAACGTAAATGCTAGACAACGCAGAAAGCAAACAATAAAGCGGGACACACCTGTATGTAACCTTCAGGAATGTCGACCAGCCCATCAAACTTGTAAATGAAAAGTGACCTACCTTGTTTGGGGAGATTTACGTGAAAATGGTTTTTCAGTATCTTTGATTCGCTCGGTCAGATGATTCTACATGTGATCAGCGATGCACTTAAGGTTTATTTTACAGATGTTGCTAGCCTTGACAAAATGTAGTGTTTGATGTACATTTTATTGTATACCAATAAAGAGTCTAGTGTAATTTAGAGCAATGTGTGATCTGATTATATATTTAATTCTGCGAATGGCATTTTTAGGGCGAAAAGTGATTGTTACCAGGCAGTAATGGTTTAAGCTGAGTATACACTCCTGTATATCAGAGATCCTGAGGCAACACGGACTAACAACAACACGTGCAACACACCTGGCCCAGGATAGAAAACTGCGACTCCCCACTACGCTGTGAGGCAATTGTGGACAAGACAAGACAAGACAAGATACACTCCTGAATCCACTTTTAATATCGATCTTTCATTAAGTCAATTTTTTAAAGTGTTGACGGCAATTGATCATAATCATTATGTAGAAAGGTCTTTACAGAACGTCGCTCCTATCACAGATTGCTTTACAGAAACACGTTTCCTCGGCAGATCTCTGGTTTCATACACTTTCATACTTAAGTTTCTTTCACATCATGTGCTGATCTTTGTGCTGGTCGGCAACTCTTATTCTGTAACATCCTATCCATATCTTCTTCTTCTTCTCCTTCTGCTTCAGCATTCTGAGCCTATGAGGTTTATTGCTGTAGATATCATCCGCCTCCATTCATCTCACTGGTTAGTCTTCTCTTTCTAGTTAGTGACATCAAGTGTTTGCAGGTCTGTCTAGAAATTATCTCTTTTTCGTCTTCTTGGTCTGCCTTGTTGTCTACGACCAATTATCTCCCTTGTGTATACAATTTTCTATTCTCTGTCATTTTACATTCTCTCAGTCTGCCCCAGCCTCAGTCTATTAGCTCTCATGATGCCAGTGATCAAAAGTGATTTAAACAATTTATGAATTCCTTTTGTTGCTTCCCTCTCTCCATTCCCCACTTTTTGCATCTTTGATGGGTATATTATCCACATCTGTGTTTCCAAATCCAAAACGGCGTTTTATACTGCCAAAGTATGTCATTATGCCAAAAGAAGGTTGCTGTTTACGTGCCGTTTCCCTTGATGTTCGGAGTTTTCAGGATGTCATTACTTTCGCCCTCTTTATCCACGATACTGTAAAAAAACTTTCTTTAGCGTGTAAGCTCAAAAGCCCACATTTTCTTTTGTAAATTGTGCGAGATAGTCCACGATTCAGCCCGAATGTTGTTAAGGGAAATATGAATATAAGTGAAATTACGACTTTGATTTGTTTACAGATTTGGTTAGGTCTATACAGCTGATCAACATCACGAAACAAGGGAAGCTATAAGCGTTCCCTTCTACTTCTAACCCAAGCCTGAGTCCGAAGAATCTCAGTGAAGTGCACGATTACCGTAGCACCGGCGAGGATCTTGAAATACTTCAAGTAGATTTTCAACTCTAAATTTTGCCAAGACAACGCCGTGAGGCTACTGTTTTAGGTTTCCAACTGCCAAAGGATTTTTTAAAACCTGCCCAACAATACACACGGGCATCCGATATAACTGCCCAGAGACCAAGATAAACTACTAGAAATCAATATGAAAAATATATCCTACCCTCAATCCAGGACCTCCAGCACTCGAGGCGGACGCTATGTCCCAGGGCCAGTAGCTTTACCATTGACTTTTAATGGCTTTCAATAAATGAAACTTATACTTCTAACAATATTCCAGGGTCGCTGTTTTACTTTAGCTGACCTGGGAGATCAAGTCGTTGAAATAATGCCCGCTAAAAATGGGGCTTAAGAGAAATCAATGCCGCGTCTCAAGCGTGTTAGCTATTTCGCTACAAAAAAATGTATACATCTAATTACCAGAGCCGATCTTGAGGGTAAAACTGATACACTTACTGCCCTTAACACGCGTTACGTAAAAACGACTAATTAGGTGTAATTCCTTTGAAATCAGAGTGCATCTGTCTGAGAGTCGAGAAACCAACAGTCTGCATACTGTTGTGTGCAATATATGGTATATGAAAGAGAAGTACATTAATGAACGTAAAACTTGGTGCGGTGCAGTACACATTGAATGGAATGTGAAAAGGGAGAGACGGTTGGCTCCAGGATCCTGGAGAGGGTGCGGTGATGTAGGTTCTAGTCTGGGTGTTGCTAGTCTAGTCCTGCACACCTGTGTGTTACGCTGGCGTTAGGTGTCCAGGCTGTCTGTTAGATTTGCTACAGTGGCCGGGCCAGCGTGACGGAAGCTCGTGAGGTGAGATCAGGAGATCTCAAGTACGTGTCAGGCCGCAGACGGAAGGTCTTAAGAATCTTAACAAGGTGTATTGTGCATCGGCCTGTGTGATCTTTCTAGTGACTGTGTACCCAAATGATGGGTGTCATAGAGACAGTCATGTAATCACGAGTAGTGGGTTTGCGCGAGCGGGTAATGTTACCCGTAGCAACCACGGAACACAGGGTGGCAGCCCAGAGCGTCCTGAGTGTGTGCTGCCTTGGTAGAGAGAATGACTGTGGCAGCATAGAAAATCATGTTTCATTGTCCTAATGTTGAAATACATTACATCTGCTTTGATGTTTAACATGTATCCGGCGCCCTCTATTGCTGTTGTGTGGGAGTAGTGACTTGTAACTGTGACACCACTGACTATACCTAGATACTTGGCAAGTGTTCGAGGCATCAGGCTATCCAGTGGCACTCTCTAGCTTAACAATCGCACGCTTTACACACAAATCAGCCAGATCTGTAAAATGGATGTGCAAGCAAAACGCAAGTTCTAAACAAGACCAAAGTTTAGAAGTGAACAAACAGCAAGAACTTTTCACAGCAGGATTAAACGCTATGAGGAAGAAGATATATATGTATTCTTGTATCTACTCACCTGCACAGTATAAGTGGTGGGCCCAGAGATGGCGCTGTGGAGGCCTTTAATCTTCTATAGGTTTTCCAAAAACTGACGAAAGTTGAAACACAAGGCAGAGAGTTGTCAGGCCAGGCTGTGAACTGTAGATGTGTAACCTGTCTCATCTCACCTGTCTTGTAGGTGGACAATAATGACAATAACAACAATGATAATAATAACAACAATAGCAATAATAATTATAAAAATTATATCAACAATTATTTAATTACAGTTAGGTCACTGGAGGTAAAGCTCCCGAAAAAAACCGGGAAATAAATAGGTGAAGTCACTGAAGTCGAAATTATACGATGTGATTGAGTCTGTACAGTGCATGCGTTAAGTTTACCGAGTCAAACATTTATACATAACAGCTTTCACAGGATTTGATGGCTAAAAAAATTCAACTTGAGTTGCTGCTCCTGCTGGTTCTGTTGTTGATTTTGTTGTTTCATATTTATGATGGCGACAATAGACATCAGATCAGAAGAGCGGCTGGTGAAAATGAAAGAACACTAGGCTCTTATGCGGGAAACTCAGGTTCGAATCCTCTGTAAGATTGTGGATTTGTTTTCTGTCTTCTTCTCCTTCTGCTTCTTCTTCTCTTCCACCTTGTACCTCAGGGAAGTATCGCGGGGAGGGGTGTGGTTGGGGGGGGGGGAAACAACAATATCAGTGGCTACAGCATTATTCAGGAGGTCCAGAATCCGCTGACTTTGAGACCCAGCGATTACACTTTTGTGTTTCCCTTTGTTCTCCTGTAAGTATTAAGGGAAAATGAGGTATTGACAACATTTAATAGTTCTAATTGTATCATTCAGACATTTGCCCAGTTCATGACATTTTCTCGCTCAGGTAATGGAATATTCTAGAGCAGTTCAGGAAGCTTTCAAAGCATAAAGCAAGACATCGTATAACATAATTATAACAACAACAAAAATGTAAATCCTAGTTCATGGCATTATATTATGCAACTGTTCTCAGAAGATAACATGTACCAAGTTGTACTTGACAAGTAAACAATACCGAAAGTAATAAATGTTCAAAAATAAAAATTAAAATTAAAAAGTCATCCTAAGACAACCCTACCTTGCTATGACGCAACGAAAACTTCCTAACAACGTATGTGGCTCTCTCCTCCTCTATATCTGTGCTGACTGTAATGTTGTCCACGTCGATACAATCACCGACGTCAGGCCAGTACTTGTAACTTTGGTTCTGTCAAAGGATATTACTCAAGAATAATAATTAAAGAAAAATATCCAAAACGACGAAAAAAAAATCCGTTCGCAGATGGAAATCTAAAAGAGTAACCTAGCGGCGCCACCCTGGCAAACATTCAGAGTTCAAAATCTACCCAAAGTATTTCAGGATCTTCGCCGGTGCTACAGAGTTTGCGCACTATTAGTTAGAAGAAAGAACGGAGCACTTATTGGTCACTACCCGTGTGTCATGATGTTGATCCGTTGTTCAAACCTCAAACTCTGTAAATGAAAAGCAGTGGTAGGATAATGACTACATTGCTATTTGAAAACGTATTGATCTTCACAGTTCAAGGACTGCTAGCCTATCTGCTTAGAATGCTGATATCCAAACTAAAAAAACTTGTTTCACGCCAGTTTTGTATCAGGTGAGGAGCGGATGGTTAAACAGTTATAAACATATTAGCTCATGCGAGAGACCCGAGTTCGAATTTTCGGTAAGTTAAGGATTTCTGTTTTTGTAAGGGGAAAAATAGAATCCTAACCTGCACAGACTGTGGCGACAGCACTAGGCGTGTGCTATTAAACCCATTACATATTAAGAGCATATCACGTGGAATGTGTTGAGCTAATAACTGACATCACAGCAATTCAGACATTCCCATAAGCGCTCCGTTCTCCTCTTCAGCAGCTAGCGAAGAGTAACTGATTCCGATGTTGCTAGATGTCGTTTTAGTCAAAATGCGTCGTGTCTTTGCTCTGAGTGTTGACACGATCTGCCGTACCATTCTCTGCGGGCGATAATGGCCGATTCGAGCCTCTGCATTATTTACTCCCTCCCAAATCTAGCTTGCCAGGCATAAATTTACCAACCCTTTGATACGGAACCAGCTAGTCTGTCTGCCTGTTCATTTTCCAACACTCCTGCATGCCCCCGTGAGAATTTTTAAAAAGAACCCTAACCACCCAGGACCCATGAAGCGATGCTCGCCACGCTGCAAGGAGTATATTGATCTCCGCCTTTCCTGATAAGCTTTGTGAGTCGGGTACATTCATATCATTGGTATACAGCTGGCCCAGCATGTACAGAACTCAGACCCAGCTCAGCCCACCGACACATTTATGATCGTTTAAGACAAGAGGAGAATGAATGAATCACTTCTAGAAAGAGACAATAATTCTGTTACCTGACATCGCTCCACCAGTCTGCACATCATGACCAGAAGCCTGTTGTTCTCAGACCACACCATGTTCCAGAAATCGTCAACTGTGCCCAGCATTGGACCTGTCACATAAACGTTTCTAATTCACTCTAACTGCTGGTACCAAACATCTAAAACTTTACAGTTATTTATTTATTCTGGAAACGATTCTAATTCACTTTAACTGCTGGTATCAAAAATCTAAAACTTTACAGTTATTAATTTATTCTGGAAACGATTCTAATTCACTCTAACTGCTGGTATCAAACATCTAAAACTTTAGTTATTCATTTATTCTGGAAATGATTCTAATTCACTCTAACTTCTGGTATCAAACATCTAAAACTTTACATTTATTCATTTATTCTGGAAAGGATTATAATTCACTCCACATTCTGATGTCAAAATCTAAAGCTTTACATTTATTCATTTGTTCTGGAAATGATTCTAATTCACTCTACATTCTGATGTCAAATATCTAAAGCTTTACAATTATTCATTTGTTCTGGAAATGATTCTAATTCACTCTATCTGGTATCAAATATCAAACGCTTTACAGTCTTTCATTTGTTCTCTAAATAATTCTAATTCACTCTGCATTTTTTCGGTGAAACATCTAACGCGTTAAAGTTATTCAGGTATTCAAGAAATTATTCCAATTTTCTCTACCTTTGGTATCAACCAGCTAACGATTTACAGAAATTCAGATCTTCTAGGGCTGATTAGGATTTACTCTACATATCGTGTTAAAAAAAAATATTTAACACGTCACCGTTCTACAGATATTTAAGAAATCATTTGAATTTACTCTAAGTTTGGTATTATATAGCTAATATTTTACAGTCATTCAGGTGTTCAAGAACTGATTCGAACTTACTCTTTCTTTTTATAGTCCAAGCCGTGTGGCGCTGGTAGTCATGTCTGTCACCATTCTTGTGTCTCGTGTACATTCAGTCAATTATTCTTCTTCTACTTTTTTTCGGTTCCTGTAAATATGCTATCTATACCTGTAGTATCGTCTCTAGTATGAACTTTACAGTAACTCAGTACAGACACAGATGATATCCCATGCCACTACTTCAAACTGTCCTGCATCTTCTCTCTCGGTCTCCATCTACATCTTTCCCACTTCAACTTCCTCACGGCCGACATGTACTCCAGTATTCTCTTTTGATATGAACAAATGATGCATATTGTCTCCTGATGTGGGCCATCAGTTCTCTTCCTGGGTCTGTGTCTTTCAAGATATCGTCATCATTCTTTAATATCTCTCCATGGTATTCTCATTTTTCGTATAAAAATCATATCTCTGCAGCTTGCAAACAATGTTTCAATGATCATATAGCAGTTCAGGGTTCACTTCCGTATATCATTATATAATATCTAAAGCTCTTGGGGATACAATTTCGATATTTCCCGTCTCAGTCGACAAATAAATATTGTATAGAATTGTCTTCACGTTCTAAAACGCTGCTTTGTCAGTACTATTCTATATTTTTCTGTAATACTTATTCTGCTGTTATCACTTTAGATTGTATATGAAACAACCTAACTTATTTATTACCATTTATTTAGTATATGAACTGTCCAAGAAACAGATTCACTCTACACTTAATAGGAGGCACTGTGGTGTAGCGGCTTTACGCTCGCCTGCGGATCGAAATGTCATGTGCTCGAGTCCTGACGAAGCCGGACTTTTTTCAGAAATGACCCTGGCTCTCAGGTCGACCTAGTTTTGAGTGGCTACCAGGTATAGTCCTAGGAAGTAAAGGTGGCCGACGTGATTCTGACGACATCATCCATCAAGAACTGATAGGTCTATAAAGTATAGGCCTATCCCTATATGCTCAATACACCATAAGGCGTGGATACAGATGCATGTTTTTCTTAAAACACAATTTCGTACAAAACAGCCCACTTTGACACGTATGTTATGACACATGAATGAATCGGCAGGATAACGGACAAATGATTGAAGCTGGGCCAGGAGCTGAGCATCCGAGAAACAAGTACGTTAACAAGCATGCGATGGCATCATTGTTATTGAAATCTCCTTCTTCTTTCATCCTCTTTTGCCGCTTTGGGTGTCGATAAGGTCCTGCTTTGTGCTTTGCTGGCTACTTCGACAATGGTCTCATTGTGGTGTAGAGTTTCGCTGATGTTATCTCCTATCGTGTTCTTGGTCTACCTCATGCTCTTCGTCTTTCTCCTCTTTTGGTATATGCCTTTTATGGTAAAGCATCAGAAGGCATTGTTTCCAAGGAGGCAAACCGTCGGATTTGCTGTTGTGTGTAATTTAAATTGGTTCTGTACCGACTTTATCTCGTATGACCTCATTCTTGATTAATTCTCTTCTGGTCACATGTAAGGTCTTTCCCTGACACCTCACTTCCATGGTTACTCATTTTCTTTTCCTGAGATGCCACGTTCTAATTGTGGATACCTGTTCTAATAACTAGCGGCTCTTCTAGTCCCAATCATCATAGTGATAGCCTCCAGGAGACGCCTTAGTGGTCTTCTAGTTTCTTGCTCTCCTTTCTCAGGGATGAATGAGAGAAAGAGAGATTCAGACACAGACAAAGCAATTTTTCTCAATTGTGAATTTGAGCACAAAAGACACAGACAAAATATATTAGAACAAAGAAGACGCAAACAATACATTGCATAATTGATTGCCCGCCATATTTCGTAGTATCTTGTCGGGTGCATAGTACTGTAACCATTGATTAAAATGAGGCAAGCACATGCATTCTTCGAAATGAAACACAACATTGACTACACACAAAAATTGTTTTATCAGGGTAAACGCAAGGTGAAGAGCAAGTCCTTTTATCTGCATAATTCTGGACTATACCAGTTTATAACGACAGCTTTCACAAAACTCAGTAATCTACGGTTAGCTGAAGTACACACACACACACACAAAATGCACAATTTAATGCCTGGCATTTTTCGCTCTATCCTGTTAGGTGCATGTAAATTCCCACTGAATCAATTATCACTGCAGCACGCACTAGACAAGATACAGAAAACAAAGCAAGATAGTCCATTGTGCAGCCTTCTTGTGGCTGTCTTCTTTGTTCCAGTTTTATGTTCAGCAGAAGGAAGAAGCAAATCTTTCCACGAAGTTCGCACAAATAGGTTTTACAGAAAGCTCTCTAAAGCTGATCCAGAAAGGCGCCTCGGAGGAAGTAAAACTTTTCACATATTTTTTTTCCGGTTGTGTTCCCCCTTAAAAGGGCGTTTGGCACATCCTGTTGGGGTTTACAGCTAGACTGTAATTAACAAAGTGGCAATATAAAAGTCGTAGGTGACAAGAAAACACTGTATTCAATCACCTACCTTGGGTGGCAATATATCCATCTTCATTTCGAAATCCCTGGGGAAGAGACATTCAGGCAATTATTATTTCGTTTCAAAGTTACGAGTCAAGACTCCGTTCCAAAAACAGAAGTTACAGGTTTGGCAAATGCAGTCTGAAAAAGGACATCAATCTTTTTGCTGCCTTCTCCACAATTATGGTTGGCTGTGAAGGATCTCAAATACAGTCTGTACTTCTCCCATTTTGCATACTTTCAATTCTTTCTTCTCTTCTCTTTACAAAAAAATGGTGTCCTACTGTTTATGCAGTCCTACTGCTTATGTCCTACGGCTGGAGCATCCAGGGGAGCCAGCCGAAACACTGGAGCAGTACACTGAAGCAGGTAAGCTTGTTATGGAATGCGCCTCAATCTTGTGTGGTAAAGAGCGAAAACGAATTTGCAAAATCTTTATGAGGTTCAAAATATGGGCTTACAAATTACACACACAATGAAACTTTATACAGTCTCATCTGTCTCAAAGTTCTAAAACGCCAAAAAATGTTAAAACAACCTACGAAGTTGAACTTGAGAGAAGACAACACAAAATACAGACAAGAGCATGTTCTAAGAGCAGGATGATAAGACAACTCAAAACAAAATTACCATTATATCTGGGGGGGGGGGGGGGCTTTACTTTGGGTGGGAGGGAGATGGAAGGGGGGGGGGGTTGATTACAGAAGGTATATTCCAAAGCATTGAATAGACTGGAGAACTTGGTGTGGCGACAACTGGCGAAACTAATAGAAAGAGTATTAAGGGAAATCAAAGAGATTAATATCTTGATGGCATTACAACATTCGTGTGGCGGACAAGATGGAAAAAGCGACCAAGAGTGAACATCACAGCAAACGGAGAGAGATAAGAATAAATAACAAGTTTCTCCAATCTTGGACACGTAGTAACAGAGGATGGCAAAAGTAAAACAGAAATCAGAGAGTAGGAATGGCTAAAGCTACGTTTAATAAGATGTGCAAGGTATTGACAGACTAAAAAGGATGAACATCAAATGTTATGTGTATGCTCAAGCCTGCCGTCTGATGCAGAAACCTGAACAACGCATTAGCAACTATACAATCGAACTGAGTCTCCGGAAATGTAGATATACAGAAGAATAGGTCGTGTTTCATAGAAAGGAAAAAAAAAAACCCCAATAAAACAAAGAGGTACTCAAAAGAAGGGATTGAAACAAATGAATGAAACACTTTATAAGATGTGGCACTCTGTTAACACCATATTGGAGGCGAAATCTTAACAGCAGAACTCGAAAAGAAGATATAAGCATAGGAAAAGCGATCTTTCAAAACAAACTATATCACACAGATACCACATCACAAATGACGACGTTTGCCGTATAATTACCTAGCACATTGGCAACTATGCGCCTCTTTGAACTACAGTGAAAAGGTAGAAAATGCAATGGTATGTACATGTAATAAAATCTAACGTCCTCTCAAAAACAATACTGCACCTGCTCAGTTGAGGGAAAGAGGAGAAGATGCAGATCCAGAAAGTCTGGATACAGAACTAGACTGATCGGACAGGCCTTATGCATGCAGTTATGAAGTCCATTGCATCTGACCATCAAAGGTGGAAAGAGCCTATCGGACAGTCAACAGCAACTGGTGATTCAAAGACACGCAGTGTTAAGGGTCGATGATGATGAGGATGACTAAAAGAAAAAAATATAGAGCAAGAGAGCAAGAGATAGACAACGTT